GACTTCTGGCCTCTGATCGACACGCTGACTTCTGACCTCTGATCGACACACTGACCTCTGACCTCTGATTGACACTCTGACCTCTGATCGACACTCTGACCTCTGCTTGACACTCTGACCTCTGATCGACACGCTGACCTCTGAGCGACACGCTGACCTCTGACCTCTGATCGACACGCTCGCTTCATTAAACAAGCAGATCCATTAAAACAAGCAGGAAATTCAGTAGATGATGTTCCTTTGAAAACACACTTGGTCATGTACAGTTTCTCTGCAGTTTTAGAGCTGGGTAATATGATGATATATATAACACTGATATCTTCTGGATATCAAAAATCGTCTGGTTTTAGATCTAGATGTATAGAGTTTAGATTGTGCTCATTTATCAGTGCTGCAGTGACTCGAGTAAATGACTGAGCTGTCAAAGACAATTAAGAGACTTAAATACTGGTCAGTTTTGTTGATATTTTTTAAATAAGAGTGAACTATTATCAATATACAATAGTTGTTGTCAGAGTCTGGGCTGGGTGATATGGCCAAACATATTATAATGATGTTTTTTTCCCATATCATATGATATCAGTATTTACAAAAACTTTTTGTTCACAGTTAAACTTAGAGTAAGATACATTTTGATATAAGGCCCCATTACATTTTATTTTATTTTCCCCTAAATTTTGGTTTTCCTTTTATTGTTTTCCTGGATTTTATCATTCAATACAATACAGTTTATCAAAAAAAATTGTGAAATGAATAATAAATAATAAATAAATTTCATTGATCTTATAAAATGTGAACAATTAATTTACAAAAAACATTGCATTTGAGGCACAACAGAAGTGTAAAAATTAAAACATGGATGAAAGAATATCTTGGTTGTATGATATTCCCTAGAAATATTAATGTTTTTGCCACTTCTTTTAGAAGTACGTTTTAGTATACAATAGTAGTGTATTTCTGTCATAATTTCTTCAAGTTAAACCAGACTTTTATTTTGACGGGTTGTGGGGCAGGTTTTTCAGTTTTACTTTGTTTCAGCGTGTATATGATGGTAGTTTTGTGTGAAGTAGTGATGGGAAGTTCGGATCATTTTACCGACTCGGACCATTGAGTCTCGTTCAGCAAAATGAACGAATCTTTTTTCGAGTCATTTCGTTCATTTTAGCAAAATATAATAAAAAAAATGTTATGTGTTACTTCCCTAACACGTCTACTACTTACGCAAACGTTGATCACACTACAAACAAACCCGAAGACTCGATGGATGAACTAATCAATTCTCTTTCCGGCTCAGACTGCATTGGTTAAACTTATGGGTCTGTCACGTGATGAACGAACGACTCAAACCCGAAGACTCGAAACAGGGGAACTACTTGACTAAACCCAGTACAGAACCTATAGGATGTTGCGCATGCGCGACTGAACGAATCACTCCCCGAGACGACTCGTTCTTCCCGAGTCACATTAAAGATTTGTTCAAGAACGACCCATCACTAGTGTGAAGCTGCTGAAGTGACTCTCAGAGTAGCTCTGGAGATGACATTTGTGTGTTCATGTATTGAGACGCAGACGCTGAAAAGAGTTTGTGTATCAGACAAAACCATGCCATTCAGTCACACCGAGAACGTGCAGTTATTAGCCGTGCTTTGACTGACTGCTGTCGTGTTGTCTAGTGATGTCCAGAGCTTGTCGTTAACACTTCAGCACATGCTGCTTTATTTGACGTGATCAGAAGCGGTCATCATGTCTCTTCCAGTGTCGAGCTGTGGCTAAACGCCTGGCGATGGCAGAGAAGTCCCGCGAGACGCTGACGGAGGAGCTGAAGCTGGCTCATCAGAACACCACGCGCTTACAGGTACGGCTAGAGCAGCGCTCTTCTGACTCAGTGTGTGGTGTTGTGTTTGGCTGACACGCTCTGCTGTGCTTCAGGACGAGCTCAGCACCACCAAGAGGAGCTATGAAGACCAGCTGAGCATGATGAGCGATCACCTGTGCAGCATGAACGACACGCTCAGCAAGCAGCGCGACCAGATCGACTCGCTCAAGCTCGCCTCCAAGGTCAGACCCCCGCGCTAGCGCTCACAGCCAGGCGCTGCTGCTGATCAGAGAGTGAACTTCAGTTTAAAACTCTGCAGAGGAATTGCTGAGTGGAAACGAATGCAGATGTTAGAGGAAATAAACTATTTTAGCTAAACATTTTTAGCTGTTCAGCTGCTGTGCTATAAAATACTGTGTTTCAGACCTCAGTTTCCTCCTCACTGGAGAATTTGCTGAAACCAGTTGCCAAAATGATTAATTTTCTACATGCTCCACATTATCAGACTGGAAACAAGCTACATCTCAAACCCATCACGACAGACGCGCTCGTTTGTTTAGCCTCTGTTTAAAGATTTAAGACTCCAGCATCCATATTTGACTGAATTTTTAATACATTGCTGGGTAATATTATAGTTTTGAGATGAAATAATAAATCATGCAGTTGAGATTGGCTGTGTAGTATATATCGCTTTATGTGAATATACTGTGTGTATGCAGGTAAAGCTGGATATACTTTCAGTAGTTGTATAATTTGTTATTATTTATTAATTTGAGGTATTAATTAGTTATAGTTGTCACACTGACATGGTTAAAGGGATAGTTTAGCCCAAAATCATCATTCTGTCATAATTTACTCATTACCATGAGTTTCTTTCTTCTGTTCAACACAAAAAATATATTTTGAAGAATGTGGGTAACCAAGCAGTTGCTGGTAGCCATTAAGTTCCATAGTATGGTCAAAAAAAAGACTATGTAAGTCAATAGGGACCATCAACTGTGTGATTAGCCGTGTTCTGTTGAGTTCAGCAGAAGAGAGAAGCTCACGAGCCAGTGATGACAGAATGATCATTTTTGGCTGAACGATCCCTTTAACTCTTCACAAACAGACAATATATTGCTGCTGCTTTTCAGTATAGAAACTAGGGCTGGGTAAAAAATATAGATTTTTTTTTTTTGTGAAACGATATTGATTCCCAAGAATTGATTAGTCTAGCCTGTTTTCAGTTAATGAACAGAACACTGTAGCGTGTCTCACATCCAGTAAATGACAATAAGCTTTGTTACTTTTCATATGAAACAAGGTCTCAGATTTCAAATTCTGTCCATTTTTTTCTACAATACTCAAATAGCATTCTCTTTCTAACATCCATCCGTTTTTCCATTCACGGGAATAAGCACCCTGATTTTCCGATCAGATACATTTTAGTTTGTATACAGGGAAATAGACATTTATATTTCAAAGAAAATAACACTGCATACCGCTGCTCCGGGGGTAAACCTACACGTCACGGTGAGAGTTTACCTAACGAAGAGGGTGAAGAGAGTTATGGCTGCTGCTAGAACAGCAGAGAGCACAGGGGGAAATATGCTCGTGCCGTCTATGGATTTCATGGATAGTATGTTGAGGTGTTAAGCATGCCCAAGCTGCCATATCTAACCCAGAGGGCTGCTCTATTTGTTCTGGTTTTCCTGCAAAACCCCGAGAAACGAGACTCAGGGTGGCAATAGCAGGAAACCAGGAGCCATGCTTCTCTCAGACTCAGAGAGAAGACTGCTAAGCAGCCGCAGGAGCCCAGGAACTGGGTGATATTATGGATGTGCAGGCTCCTGATCTGCCACCCTCTTCGGTGATGCCCTTGCGGGTGTGACGGGGAGGATGATGATGAGGAATTATCAGGGGGATGCCATCCTTCCTTCTAACTCACCTCATCTCGAGTGGGGACCCCCCTCTTCGTTTTTCAGATCGAAAGTTACTCTAAGAACTAATCCGGCTTTTGTTCCTAAGGTCAGGGACACAACAGGAGCAATCATATTGGTGGAATTGTTAGCGTTTTCTTCATCAGAGGAAGAGTGATTACACTCGTCTCTTGGGCTGATAATTACAGAGAGAGACCTATTTCATGTCAGCGGTGGTAAATGTGATTGTAATGTGTTACAAAGAAACAAATTTGCAGCCTCCACCGGGACTTCACGCCCTCTCCACGAGAGGAATGGCTACTTCCTGGGCTCTGTTCAAGAGAGTTTCTGTTCGCTGGGTGTCACCGCACACATTTGTGAGATATTACAGATTTGATATGACAGAGTCATCTCTGGCTGATTTAGTGCTTGGAGTGATATTTAATACACTTCATTCAGGTCATTCTCACATTTTTATATTTCAGAAGTGAGGTATCTCCACTCACCACTCTTCTTGCAGTCTGCACAGAGCAGAAGATATGCGGAGAATGATGCCGTGGGTTATATACAAGCGATTGGTCTGACAACCATGCTGTAATTGTTCGGTGTCTGCTGAGGCATTCCCATAGTGAGATCCCAAACGGATGTTATCAGAGAACCGGGGTTACACGAGTAAGCTAACGTTTAATGCGGAGTGACAGATTGCTGTAGCGCCGCAGTTCAACAGAAGTGGCAGCGCGAGGTGCACGCGAACGGATCGATGACTTCGCTTTAGTACCAGTTACAGCACAAAATAAACATGAATGAACATCCGAAGGTATTAAAAGAAACAACGTACCGAAATCCATATCCTGTCTCATATAATCCCTCAATCAGAGTTTCAACCACGGAAATACGTCAATATAACAGCTTTTTAAACAACATGTCACGTAACGTCACATTTAACTCAGAAAAAACATATTCAGTGACTTTAGTCAGCTAGAAAATCCACTTTAGAGAGGAGCATTTTGCTGAATGCACCATATAATATATTCATTATTTTTACTTTTTTCGTTTTACTGTTCAATATTTAGTTTTTTATTTTTTATTTTAACAAATCTGTCAAGTTTTTATGACAAATACCATTTAAAAATTTATTATTTCAAAAAACGAATTGGAGTAGAAATATAACTGTAATTGTATAGTTTGTATTATAACTTTATTATTATAAAAAATTAATTGAGTCTAATTTAAGTGTTTGTGTACGAATCAGTTCATTTTAACCTTCAATATTATAGTAATGTAGTATCAACTGACTCTACTGTATAATTTACAGCATTAGTTGAGAGGTGTACTGTACCTGATATAAATCCAAAATCGATATTGAATCAAATCAGAATCCGATTGAATTGCAGTCGTGAAAATTGTGTCAATACCCAGCCCTAATAGAAACACGGTTTTGATTAAAAGACTCGTCTGTAATAATGAAACTTTGCTAAATCTGATGTTTGAATGAGTCATTGAGTGAAATCTGAACTCTGTTTTGCTGAACTCTTGCAGGGAAACTCCAAGAAGAACAAGAGCCGATAATGTGGACGTCTGTCTCAGTGACGGCGAACATTCCCACACCAGACATGTGACAGGAAGCAGCTGATCTTCAGAGGAACTGTGTGTGTGAGAGTGACAGTGAGAGTGACAGTGCGAGTGAGTGTGAGTGTGAGTGTGTGTGTGAGTGAGTGAGTGCGTGCGAGAGTGCGTGAGAGTGAGTGAGTGAGTGTGTGTGTGTGTGTGTGAGAGTGACAGTGAGAGTGACAGTGCGAGCGTGAGTGAGTGCGTGAGTGACAGTGAGAGTGACAATGAGAGTGAGATTGACAGTGTGCGAGTGCGAGCGTGCTTGAGTGAGTGCGTGAGTGTGTGAGTGCGTGAGTGAGTGAGTGCGTGAGTGAGTGAGTGCGTGCGTGCGTGCGTGCGTGAGAGAGTGCGTGAGTGCGTGAGATTGAGTGCGTGAGTGAGTGAGTGAGTGTGTGTGTGAGAGTGCGTGCGTGCGTGTGTGTGAGAGTGCGTGCGTGCGTGTGTGTGAGAGTGCGTGCGTGCGTGTGTGTGAGAGTGCGTGCGTGCGTGTGTGTGAGAGTGCGTGCGTGCGTGTGTGTGAGAGTGCGTGCGTGCGTGTGTGTGAGAGTGCGTGCGTGCGTGTGTGTGAGAGTGCGTGCGTGCGTGTGTGTGAGAGTGCGTGCGTGCGTGTGTGTGAGAGTGCGTGCGTGCGTGTGTGTGAGAGTGCGTGCGTGCGTGTGTGTGAGAGTGCGTGCGTGCGTGTGTGTGAGAGTGCGTGCGTGCGTGTGTGTGAGAGTGCGTGCGTGCGTGTGTGTGAGAGTGCGTGCGTGCGTGTGTGTGAGAGTGCGTGCGTGCGTGTGTGTGAGAGTGCGTGCGTGCGTGTGTGTGAGAGTGCGTGCGTGCGTGTGTGTGAGAGTGCGTGCGTGCGTGTGTGTGAGAGTGCGTGCGTGCGTGTGTGTGTGTGAGAGAGTGAGTGAGTGAGTGTGAGAGAGTGTGTGTGTGTGTGTGTGTGAGAGTGTGAGTGAGTGAGTGTGTTTAGTGTAATTACAGCATCTGTTTCTCCTCACACAAGATGTTGTTTGTTAGAGAAAGCATGCCTCATACACACACTCCTACACACACAAGTCTGTTTTAATTCTGCAGAGAAGCGTGTGTGATTAATTCAGAGGTAAAATCATGGTAAACTCGTGTGCTTTTTTCCAAACAAATATACTGAAGAAATGGTCTGGATGAGAAGGGTCCATGTGAATGAACACATTGAATCCACAGTGATTTTCCTCCGAAAATAAACCATGTTTTTATGCACTAAATCTGTTGTGGTTGTCTAGAGTTCATGAAGTCATATATCAGATTATTGTGCAGTAGAGCAGTGTTTCCCAACCGGGGTGCCGTCTGTCGAGAGCAGGGGTGCAGTGTAAAAAATCTTTTTTTAATATTTTTAAATAGCTAAAATGTTCATAAAAGCAGCTATTATATAATATCCATTTCTGATGTCGGCAATAATTATTATAATATTAAAAATATCTGTATGACAGTATATTCTGCAGTTCTTCCCTGCTGTACCGAATATCTATACTTTTCAAAGTATCATATCGAAGTTAGAAATTCAAATATTGTGACAAAATTAATTTTGTAGGGTGCCACAAATTTGTTAAAATTTCCAAAGGGTGCCGCGACTAAAGAAAGGTTGGGAAACACAGCAGTAGAGTATGATGTGACTCTGTCTCTGAATCTCTCCAGTGCTCTGATAGCTGGTGAAGGGCAGCATGAGTGTCACGATCTTCTCATCTTAGTCTCTTATTTCTCTTTATATGGATCTGTTTAGCAGCACAATGTACTGGATTCAACCCAAATCAAGACAATAAAGCTGTAAACTCAGCCATTTTGCCTTCAGTTTTTTATTTTCAGAATTCATTTCACGAGCCCAATGTTTATCTTAAGAGGACTAAACACAAGACTAAAAATAAAATAAAAAAGTTTTGTGGAGCTGAAGTTCTTCCAAATTTCGACTCCTACTAACGGCGGAGGATGAGCTCATGAATATTAATTAGGTTGTGTTGAGGTTGATTGGTGCGCTCCCGTGCCTCATGAATATTAAGGCTGTCGGCAGAATCCGCTTCCCGTTCGGGATGTTTTGGCTGGAATCGCGTCCGCTCCACTTATTTCTGCCATCTTGAGAAAATACCGTCTGCGCCGGATCACACATCTAAAACCAACACGTGGATAAATCCCTCACACACACACACACACAACCACCATGAATATTAAGGTAGTCGGCAGAACCCGCTTCCCGTTCGGGATGTTTTGGCTGGAATCGCGTCCGCTCCACTTATTTCTGCCATCTTGAGAAAATACCGTCTGCGCCGGATCACACATCTAAAACCATGAGGTGACTAAATATCTCAAACACACACACACACAACCACTGTTTCCACTTGTTTGTCGTTGTTTTATGTAGTTATAAAGTTGCTGCAAACAAAGCGCCAGCGCGAAGGAATCACAAACCCGAAGCTCATCTGAATCCGTGTTTAACATTCACTGCGAGCGAGATTCTAGTTCCTAACCTTTACAGATGTTTTCCAGAGTTCACCGAGTTCTTTCTACGTTATTTTCCTCTAGTGAACTTTATTCTGTCCTCGTAAATGTGACTGCTTTAAGTCGGTTTGTTGAGTTGTCAGTTAATATTATTATTATTATTATGAATTATTATTAGTGAGTTGTGTGTGTTGAGTTATTTTGCAGCACATCAGTGAAAGAGGGAAAGATTGCTGCTGGCATCATCTAACGTTAGTCAAACCATCTCAGAACTAGATGATGCCAGGATTACAGACCAGTTAGTCACCATCCCCTGAATCTGGAGAAGAGCACACATTATAACTCTTCTTCACATTATTCAGCATTATACAAATGAAGAAGAGAGAAACATCTGTTTGGTGGATCCAGGCTGTTTCTGGAGAAGCATAAACTCACACATTTCAGGCAATATAATCAGGTTACCTTTGACCTAACATTATCACATTGAATTAAATGGTATAATCTTGTACCACACTGATATAAAAATGCAAAGAAAAAGAAAATATATTCAATTCGTTGATATTGACAACATAAACTGCATTAAACATTATATTATGCCAAGGTTTCCCAAACTTGGTTTCGTAAAGGAACTGCAGGGGCTTAATGAGTTTAATGAAAAGGTAATAATGAATTCAATCACAGAAATGAAAAATAGCATCAATCAAAATAAAATGCATAAAATAGTTTATTTGTTTACCTGCATGTCATGTGACCATTTACCATGGGTGAACATGTAATATGATACTTAATGTTTAACTTATTAAGTAAATATATTAGGTGAAAGATTCAGCTGATGAAAAAGTTTGGGAATCCCTGCATTACATGTAAATAAGAAATAATGTGAATGTGTGCATTTTAATGTGTTTGGAAAACAAAAGCCTTCCAAAATACATGGTAATACATGATAAAATAACCTACCGAGTGATAATTCACATGAAAATGAAGGTGTTGGTCAGTAGCTGATGCTGAAATGATTTCTGTAAATCCAGCTCAAACGCTGTGTAGCACCTGACTAATGACTGATCTCTGAGTGAATGTCCACGAGACTGAAGACTTGCCAGGACCAGCACTGACAAACACTGATATACTCGTACAGCAGACAACTCAAATAATAAATGCAAACAAAAAGAGTCCATCTATAACAAACTCCAGAAATCTAGCTTTCACTGGAGAGCACTAACAAAATCAGTGTATCAAGTGAAAACTAATATAAAATATAATAGCATCAGGTAAGACTGAGCTCCCCTCCACCAAACTAAAACACTTCTGCTCCTGTAACCGGTTAAGAGAGTAATTAGTAGTGGGACTTTCCAGAGAGAGAGGAAAGAAAAACAAGAGACTTGGTTATCACTATTGCAGCTCGGCTAGCTCCAGGCCGCGCTTCTGGAACTGATGACGGTGATGCAGCAGTGTTTGGGTTAATCACCGTGAGCTCAGGGGTTATATGACGCTAGGATAACCATGCTGTCTGGATTAACCCTCAGAAACCTCTGCAAACAGATTGACGCATAGAATCAGCTAACAGCTTAGCCTACTAGCGTAACAAAGTGCTAACTGGCAGAGCAGGGTAGATTACTTACAAATTGTAGTCCGTTACTGATTACAAAATACATGACAAAAAGATTTATAATGTTCAGGAACCGTGTTATAAATAAGTTTGTCTGGATTTGGAAGCCCAAACAAAGGGGTTTGGGAGCTGGGGTGGACGGCCATGACGACAGGACGTTACTAAAGCAGCTGCTCTTCTTCTTCTCCTCCTCCTTCTTCTTCTTCTTCTTCTGCAGCACAGCTCAACCAGGCCACACCCGTGGGTGGAGATTATTTAAAGGAGTGACATTGTGACTTCACAATATCTGGAAGAAGCGCGCTGTAGTCCAAACGAGCAGTTTATTGTAGTTCTTGGAAAGTGTTTTGTTAAAGAGAATATCTCCTTTTAGAGTGGACTTTGAGCTTTGTAATCTTGCAGATTTCAACTAAAGTTGAAAAAGTGAAAAAGCATAATAGGACCCCTTTAATGAACTGACCAATCATGCAGAATATTAAGTACTACATAATCAACAATATAAACAAGCATTTCTGTTTGCGAGGTTTGACACCCTGGGTGTGTAAAGGGTCTCATAACGTGACCCACACGCGTGTGAATGTGCCGCAGGGCAAAGGGCTGGTGTTTCTTGTGTTTATTCATTTGATTCTGTCATGCACAAGACCGTTCGGAAGCTCTGGAGCCGGTCAAAGAGACTCACACTATTGCTTTAAGCTCAGCTGCAGCCTTCAATATTTCTACCCTTTCGACTAAGATGCCCCATAATTAATGCATCCCATAATAATGTCTGTGTGCCCTCTCTCTACAGAATCAGAGCATCCCGTGTGTCCACTAGTCAACATATAGTTGAAACAGTCAGGCTGGTTTGAAACTCATTCAGATTTGTAAGTACCTTATTGGTGTCTGTCTATTTCTGCAGAAGATTGTGCGCACAAGAAGAGTAAAGCAATGTGCTCCACGAATCATCCAGCCAACTGGGTTACGTTTGACGATGAAGGGACGACCTTCTCCTCACCCCAGAAATCCCCGTGCTCTCCTACATCAAACTCAGGTTCGGTACCTCGGCCTAACGGGTTGAAACTTGTTCTGCCATCCCTGGGAAGTGAATCATGGAACTTCAGCTCTGCCATCGAATCCCCTTCCATGGATTTCAGCCTCAATGGGAGTTCATGTGTGCCCAGAAACACTCCTCTGCACACTCCGGCGGGTCCGTCTCCCTTACATTACGCTCCTCAGGAGCAGCCGGACTTCTCCAGCGGTCTGTCCAGCTTCTCTCAGAGAGACTCCATGAAGCTGCCTGAAGGCTCTGCTTCTCTCAATGCACCCTGTGATGAGCCAGGCCATTTTAACCCCTTCTGGGGGGAAGCTGAGCATAAACGAGTGTCCTGGACCTCATCGTCCGACTCAGACTCTGGACCCAGTTTGCCCTGTTTCTTCATCCGTTCCAAGGATGGCAACGAGCCGCCCCAAGACCACCTTCAGTACTCCTACTCCTACATATGCCATAAACTAGAACAGCTGAGAACAGAGGAGAACCAGCAGGAAGGCGATGATGGGAAACTGGAAAGGGAGAAGCGACCTTCAGGCTTAGGTGCTGTGAAAGATCAAGCGATGAACAGAACTCCGTCCACCTTCGTCTCGCAGGGATTGTTCCTCAGTCAGAGGAGACACGGTTGGTCCTTGATGCTTCGGATCCCAGAGAAGAAGAACCGCATGTCCTCGCGCCAGTGGGGTCCCATATACCTGCAGCTGCTGCCCGGAGCGCTGCTGCAGCTCTTTTATGAGAAGGGCTTGGAGAAACCCTTCAAAGAGTTCCAGCTGCATGCCTACTGCGCTCTCTCGGGTCCGAAGCTCGAGAGTTACGGCGAGCCGCGCAAGATCGCCACGCTGAAGGTCGAGCATGTGTCGTACGTCGAGAGAAAGCGCTATCACCCCAAACATGAGGTGACCCACGAACCAGAAGTGGAGCAACTCTTGAAGTTCGGCACCACAGAATACGGAGACTTGGAGGACTTGCTGGTGTCCATAGAAGAAGAGCTCCTGCGGTTACCAGTGCCGCACCAGCAGCACAAACACTATGAAGAGCAGGAGCTGTCCTTGCAGATATCTGACCGCGTCTGGATGCGGCAGAGTAAGGACGGCGCTGTTCTCGAGTGCACGGCCGTTACACAAATTCACTGTCTCGCCTTCTTGAACGGGGCGGTGGAGTGCTTCCTAGCTCTGAATGACCTGGGGCTTCTCAGACAAGCTCCTGCGTACGCCTCTGATGAGGACGAGGAGGTCTGGATGGAGATCGCAGACTATCATTTCCATCGGTGTGTCAGAGAGGCAGAGTTTGTAGACAAGCGGCTGATTAAGTTCTGTCCTCCGGCTTGTCGAGTGGAGCTGGTGCGCTACAGGACAGTGTCGCTCCACTGCGAGGAGCCCCCGCTCTCTGTTAAAGCCCTGGTGACTGTGCAGGGCGCCTGTGTCGAGCTCCAGGTCTTCCTCAACGTCTTGTCCAGGTTCCCATCGCCTACAGAGACTGTCTGTGAAAACGTTGTGCTTCAGGTGCCGTTCCCGGGCGACTGGGTCAAAGTGCCCAACAGCATGTCGCTGCTGCGGCAGAAGTCTCTGAAGGCTCGCATGAACAGAAACACGTGTCTGGGCTCAGCGCATGTGGCTGAGTCTCAGTCTGTGATGCACGTGTCTGTCGGCACGGTCAAATATGAGAACGTGCATCGAGCCGTCGTGTGGAGAATCGAGCGGCTTCCTCCCAAGAACATGGGTAAGAAAACACAACACAACTCCGTATTTGAATATCAGTGGTGGATATATTATCATAGGTTAAAGAAAAATATATACATTATATACACAGGACATTATAATTTTATCTCCGTGAGGTAAAGTTTTTGAGTCAGGACCGCAGATTGAATCAGATGACTGCACTGCAGACATCATAACAGTCCAAGGGGTTTTGACACCAAGGAAGGAAATGATGGAAATAGTAATAATTATTTGTTTACAGTGCCCATTGTCACAGTAAAATATACCAATTAAGTAAATAATCTTCAACTTCATATTAACTTTTAAAAAATTATGTACTTAAAACTTGTAATGAAGCAACTTATGCATGACAAATGAAGATCAAAGTTGGGTTGCTTGAATTGTAATTTAAAAGAATTTAAGCCCCGTAACAAAGTCAGACTGAATTGTATTGAGCGACTCATTAAACCAGTAACATTCTCTTAGATGAGCTTTTGAACGTATCCGAGCCATGTTGAGCTGGGTTAACAACAGAACCAACTTGTTTTGGAAATGACCGGCAAACTGAAAACTGATAGTGAATTCATATACTGAGAGTGTTTGGATTGACCCGAGGAGCTCACTAATGGAGCAAACAATAACTTTAACTCTTTCCCCACCACGGTTTTTGAAAAAGTTTCCAGCGTCTGCCAGCATTTTCGATCATTTTCACAAAATCAAAACATCCCCCAGAATATTTTGTTGTATGAATATCTGAACATGCAACAGAGTAATTGCTGCTGATCAGAGGAACCATGATCTGATCTGGGACAAACTAATAGAAAAAAACAAGCAAATATATAAATTTAAACAAAACTAGTTCACTGAAAAACTGTTTAGAAGAACCGATTTGTGTACATGAATTAGACTTATAAATTGCATTTCTCTATATTTTTCTTATGAGAAGTGTATTAGAAACCATCTAGTTTTTTACTGGATTGCTGAACCTGCATTATAGGCTGGGGTTCACCTCATCACCATTACACACAACACACATCACACATATAAGGTCTGTAGATCAGAACTATAGGCAAAAGTCATGTAGACGACGTGTTTGTGAGGATAATAGAGGAAACTGATGGTGTTCTTTGTGGAACGCTAAAGACTGACTGCTGAACTCACAAACAGTCGGTTCTAGTGGGATCTGCTCTTGATATTTGGTGTCTCACTGATAGTTTGTTACTGCTGCTAGTAACACAGTGCTGGTCATCTCAGGTGAGGCTCAGAGCAATGGAAGGGTCTTATTTGGTCATTCATGTGTGGGTAAATCTCACAGGTTTTGTGACTGTCTTCTCCGTAGCTCTGGAGCAGCCTCAGTCGTTCGCGTGTAAGCTGGAGCTGGCGTCAGATCAGGAGATTCCCGCCGACTGGCTCCCGTTTGTCAGGGTTGAGTGTGAGGTGGCAGATGCGGTGGCGTCCCACACACGCGTGAAATCTGTGGGCATCGAAAGTGACGTTCAGCCGCAGAAACACCTGAGCAGCAGGGCACACTACCACTGCCAGGTACAGAAACATACCTTACACATCACATGCAGCGTGGCATTTCATAGCAGGTACTGCTTCAGCATTGCCTCTTTTTGCTAAAATATTCAGTAATTTACTCTGTCTTGAAGGTGGAGATTGAGAAGAAGCTGATTGAGGCTGAGTCGGTGAAGCAGTCGAGCTGCGCGGCACAGTGATGATGGAGGACGCGGATCACTGTGTTCATGTCGCTCACTACAGTGAAATCACAGATTCCTTTTTATTATTGTCATTATTTTTCTACCATCATTTCTCATGTAGAATTCACACTCCAGTATGCCACACATCTAGTACCATTAAGTAAACAAATGTTTATTAACCGTGAGAATAATGCAACTATATATAAATGTATTCCAGAGTATTTTAATATCTTTAATGGTCTTATCCAATGAGTTATAATATTGCTGCACTTTACAATTCTGACCCCATTTTAGATTTATACGGGACTGTAAAAATATGGGAACATGCGCATACATACAGATAATATGCACCTCTCTGACAAATGTTTGCAAAACATACATTTTACTCATAAGCCCTGAGACTGTCAGGTGTGCACTAGGATAGTTTGGGGCAAGCAGAGGAGAATTTATTTGCCCATAAGACACTTGATCTGAATGTGCATGTGACAGTCTCAGGGCTTTTGCTGCAAGTGCAACTTGAGGGCCTGTAGTGTGCGATTGCTTAGAACGGTTATTAACTTACGCTTATGCATTTACCATTATTTATGTGGTTTCATGAAGTTATATTGTCCTAAGAAGAGAGTGCATAATAAATAAAAGCCTGTTTGTTCACTCTCATCTCTACTGCTTCATCACTCTCTGACACGTTAAAACATTGACCTCAGTTTTCATATTGAGTATGGTTTTACTATACTCTGACATTAATATTTATGGACAGTCCCTAGAACAGCGTTGGTAAATACCATAGTAATACATGGTATTACCATAATATTGAATGATTATCATATTCATAGTATTTATGGTATGTTTTTTTAGTGATTGTCACTCATTAGATGCTTTGTTGAGACTGCAGGGGAAATATGACTGCTTTTCTTTAAAGGTGCAATATTTGAAAAACTCTTTTGACCACAGTGTCGGACCGAGTCCCAAAACACACTTGTAGCGAATCAGCAGTAAGGGGGCGTGTCTTGTAATGATGGAGAGAGAAGAGAGCGCTCCGTTTGAGTGCACAGGACGGATATTAGCAGATTGACTATAGATAGAGAGAGATGGCAGATAAAAAAAGAGGAAAATATCAGAGAAACAAAACATTAAAAAGAAGGGTTACGATCAGGCAAGAGGACCCGCGTAAATATCGGAGCAACTTTCCAGCAGTGGAGAGAACTCAAGGAGCGGGAAGGGCTCGGATCGGACACCAAGGTTGCGTTGTTTTTTCTTGATAGGTGAGTAATGTTGATTTTAACGTGTTTGTTTTGTTTGTTTTGGCGCTTTCAAATATCAACATTGTTTGGCAAAAATTGCTTAGTGCACATTTAAATCTGTTTTTTAGACTGTTCAAACTGCAGAAATTAAGCTTTGGTGCAAAGATTCACAGAAAGGTTTTTTTGTTCATCCTTTGGATGAATGTTGAGTTGATCTGCAGCACAGATGAGGCGGGTGCAGCGGTCGGAGGAGGAGAAACGTCACAAATCCACTGCCAAAACTCATATTAAAACATGCTTCCTCATGTAGCTGTCAAATAAACCTGCCATATTATATTATATGCTGTAAGCTCCTTGACAAATTGCTTTTGTTTCTCTTTTGTAAGTCGCTTTGGATAAACGTGTTTGCTAAAGGCATACATGTAAATGCAATACTAACCCTAACCAAGGGTTTTCTGGTTAGCAAGGCCCTGTTATCCTTGCTGCTGGATGCTATGTTTATCTAGTTGTAAAACAGCAATCAAAAGTATATATATTTCTGTCGGAGGGATTGGCATGGTAATGTACATGACAATGTTGATGTATTTAGTCTTGACGGAATAGATCTGCTACAGTGTCTATATAGTATGCTGCTGCGACAGAGCAAGTACCAAGACGTGCTGCTGCCAATACGTGAAGGTGACGTGACGTGTGGCCAAGTATGGTCATACTCGGAATTTGTGCACTGCATTTAACCCATCCAAGTGCACACACACAGCAGTGAACATACACACACCGTGAACACACACCCGGAGCAGTGAGCATGAATGCTGCGGCGCCTGGGGAGCAGTTGGGGGTTCGCTGCCTTGCTCAAGGGTCTCCCCTCAGTCGTAGTATTGTGGGTGGAAGAGAGCGCTGTACATTCACTCCCCCCACCTACAATCCCTGAGACTCAAACCCGCGACCTATGGGTTACAAGTCCAACTCTCTATCCATTAGGCCATGATTGCCCCTTAGGCCATACATCCACAACATGCTGCAGTGAGCATGTAAGAAATACTGCTGCTGCAAATATAACATACATGAAATAACCCCCCACAAAGCAGGAGACATAGAAGGGACAATACAAGCCAAAACAAGAACAAAACACCCCACAAAAAGCAGATCTATTGCCAAGAAATATGTACTGCTGCTGCTCGGAAGAGCCACGTGAAAAGCATGTATTACTATCTACACTGAACAACTATGTGAGCCGGGGCTACCACGCCTACGGGCTTAACAATAGTGGCCTATGACTATGTGAGCCTGGGCTACCACGCTGACTGGCTTAACACTAGTGGCCTATGACTATGTGAGCCTTGCTTACCACGCTGACCAGCTTAACAATAGTGGTCTATGACTATGTGAGCCTTGGCTACCACGCCGACTGGCTTAACAATAGTGGTCTATGACTATGTGAGCCTTGGCTACCATGCTGACTAGCTTAACAATAGTGGTCTATGACTATGTGAGCCTTGGCTACCATGCTGACTAGCTTAACAATAGTGGTCTATGACTATGTGAGCCTTGGCTACCATGCTGACTAGCTTAACAATAGTGGTCTATGACTATGTGAGCCTTGGCTACCATGCTGACTAGCTTAACAATAGTGGTCTATGACTATGTGAGCCTTGGCTACCATGCTGACTAGCTTAACAATAGTGGTCTATGACTATGTGAGCCTTGGCTACCATGCTGACTAGCTTAACAATAGTGGTCTATGACTATGTGAGCCTTGGCTACCATGCTGACTAGCTTAACAATAGTGGTCTATGACTATGTGAGCCTTGGCTACCATGCTGACTAGCTTAACAATAGTGGTCTATGACTATGTGAGCCTTGGCTACCATGCTGACTAGCTTAACAATAGTGGTCTATGACTATGTGAGCCTTGGCTACCATGCTGACTAGCTTAACAATAGTGGTCTATGACTATGTGAGCCTGGGCTACCACGCTGACTGGCTTAACACTAGTGGCCTATGACTATGTGAGCCTGGGCTACCACGCCGACCTGCTTAACAATAGTGGCCTATAACTATGTGTGCCTAGGCTACCACGCCGACCGGATTAACAATAGTGGCCTATAACTATGTGAGCCTTGGCTACCACGCCGACTGGCTTAACAATAATGGCCTATGACTATGTGTGCCTAGGCTACCACGCCAACCGGATTAACAATAGTGGCCTATAACTATGTGAGCCTTGGCTACCACGCTGACCAGCTTAACAATAGTGGCCTATGACTATGTAAGCCTTGGCTACCACGCTGACTGCGCTGACTGACTTTACACTAGTGGCCTATGACTATGTGAGCCTTGGCTACCACGCTGACCAGCTTAACAATAGTGGCCTATGACTATGTAAGCCTTGGCTACCACGCTGACTGCACTGACTGACTTTACACTAGTGGCCTATGACTATGTGAGCCTGGGCTACCACGCCGACTGTCTTAACAATAGTGGCCTATGACTATGTGAGCCTTGGCTACCACGCTGACTGCACTGACTGACTTTACACTAGTGGCCTATGACTATGTGAGCCTTGGCTACCACGCTGACTGCACTGACTGACTTTACACTAGTGGCCTATGACTATGTGAGCCTTGGCTACCACGCTGACTGCACTGACTGACTTTACACTAGTGGCCTATGACTATGTGAGCCTTGGCTACCACGCTGACTGCACTGACTGACTTTACACTAGTGGCCTATGACTATGTGAGCCTTGGCTACCATGCTGACTAGCTTAACAATAGTGGCCTATAACTTTGTGAGCCTTGGCTACCATGCTGACTAGTTTAACAATAGTGGCCTATGGCAATGTGTGCCTGGGCTACCTCGCCGACCGTTTTAACAATAGTGGCCTATAACTATGTGAGCCTTGGCTACCACGCTGACTGGATTAACAATAGTGGCCTATGACTATGTGAGCCTTGGCTACCACGCCGACCAGATTAACAATAGTGGCCTATAACTATATGAGCCTTGGCTACCATGCTGACTAGCTTAACAATAGTGGCCTATGGCTATGTGTGCCTAGGCTACCATGCTGACTGGATTAACAATAGTGGCCAATGACTATGTGAGCCTTGGCTACCACGCTGACCGGCTTAACAATAGTGGCCTATGGCTATGTGTGCCTAGGCTACCTCGCCGACCGGCTTAACAATAGTGGCCTATGACTATGTGAGCCTTGGCTACCACACCGACCGGATTAACAATAGTGGCCTATAACTATGTGAGCCTTGGCTACCATGCTGACTAGCTTAACAATAGTGGCCTATGGCTATGTGTGCCTAGGCTACCTCGCCGACCGGCTTAACAATAGTGGCCTATGACTATGTGAGCCTTGGCTACCACACCGACCGGATTAACAATAGTGGCCTATAACTATGTGAGCCTTGGCTACCATGCTGACTAGCTTAACAATAGTGGCCTATAACTACATGAGCCTTGGTTACCATGCTGACTATCTTAACAATAGTGGCCTATGGCTATGTGTGCCTAGGCTACCTCGCCGACCGGCTTAACAATAGTGGCCTATGAGTATGTGAGCCTAGGCTACCACGCCGACTGGCTGAACTCTAATTAGACATGCACTATGTGTAATGGTAATTAACAAAATGGATATATGTTGCAATCCGATAGATAAGACCCCAGCACCCACCTGAGAAAATATCATAATTTAGTCATTTGATAACTGCTGTTACTTTCTCCGCTTCATCAGTCCCAGTGGCAGCGTAACAGCTTGTTAATTCACGTTTGTGCAATGATAAGACGGACAACGTTAGCCGATGCATGTCATTTTATTCTCTCATGCAGAAGTTAGAGTTACAGTGCACAAAAACACCCAGGTATATAAATGTTCTTTCTCCGTTTTCTGAACTACACAGTACAGCGAGAACACACGTCACACAAAAACATTTCTCTGAACTACTCTACCCATAATGCATTTCACTCGGGACAACAACAGTCGTAGTGATCTTCAGTGATAACTCTTATTTTCCTTCTCCCACAACACTGTCATTGATATGACTGCCATAAGCGTGTGCTTCTGACACTGCGCGCAGCTGAAATCAACCACACACTCATTACAATGAAAACATCGACCTTAGAAATAACGAACGTGAGCACTGAGATTACGCCTTTGTATATGGCGAACCACGGTTGAAATGCATACACAATAATGCTTATTCCAATTAACCTGTTTTAATATCTGGTTCTATCGCCGTGTCCTCAGAGCGATTACATATGCTCTAAACTGCGTTTTGCTCCAGCTGTATAAACACAGATGCTAAATGCTGCTGCTAATATGCTTAATATTTTGCTCCTGCATACAAAGCAAACTGCTAACATGACACTTAGTTTAAACTAGTGCTGTCAAATGATTAATCGTGATATGCTCTAAACTGCGTT